CAGAAGCTGCTTGGCCTTTTCTCTGTTTGTTTCGTCCCTTTTTTTTTTTTTTTTCAATGTATTTATTTTTTGTCCCCGGCCCTTCCCCTTATCCCTTTGTGTGGAAGGGACGGAGATGGGACGGAGTTTTGAGGTGTCGAATTTTGTGGGGGCAGCAGATACCGCGCACTGCCACTCGGGCGTAGGAACGGCCCCGAGAAAAGGGGGTCTCCCAGGATCAAAGGTCCAAAGGCGTCTTATTGAGAGCGGAAAGGGATGAGGTCCCGAGGGGGACATCGGCATTGGGGTCTGTCCAGTCAGCTTGCTGGAAAGGGACATGTGCAGGTCCCTTGGCGGATGCCTCAGTGAGCACCCTACGGATGTGCCAAACAGTCGGTGGTTGGCGGTTTCGGAGTCCCGTTTGCACTCTTATAGGGGCCTGCGTGCTTAGCATCCCCCTTGCAGTCGACGAAGGCGATGTTCCTGGCATGGGTTTTGGGACCTTGTACTCGAGTTACAAGGGACTCTCTGCACACGCTTTGGGTGGTCTCCAGTTTGCGAGGGACGGGCGAGTCGTGCTTTGGTGGTCGAGCGAACATTTTTGCGGCGCCGTTCGGGTCCATGGTCGTCTCTCTCGAAGGGCTGTTTTCACGACACCTCGGTCGTCGTTGGCGGCGGTTGTGGCTGTCGGGGCTTTCCTATGCCGTGGTGGCGGGTTGTGGATCGTTGCGTTCACCCTCGCTCATCGTCTTGCGATGATTGGCGCCTGATCGTCGACGGCGGTCCAGTTGAAGGTCGTTTGCAGGGTGTGGAGGCGGAGGTGCCCGTCACCGGCTCTCAGCTTCGGCACCATCATCCCGTAGGTTACGGGGAGAGCTGTTGCGGCTCTGTTGTGGTGTCGTCTTCGTGTCCGCACTCACAACGACGCGTTCCGTTTGTGTTGAGGGGTTGTCACGACTTGGTGAGGACGCTCTGCGCTCTTTGCCATCTGAGCGGCGCCATTGAGCGGTGGCGCAGGTGGCCTCGGCCATGCACGCGCTGCTTACCGTATGCGAGGGCGGAGACTTGTGGGATGCGTGATGCACCCTCCGACGGCGTCGCGACGCTGGGCCCGTCATCCGCCCGACTTTTTGGAATGCGCGCTTGTGCCCGTCGTGTCCCCCATCCTGTGGTCTCGGTATGCTGCACACCGTGACGGATCGCGCTGCGTCGTGGTTCCGCTGCGTTTAGGTTGTGGGCTTCGAAGGCTACTGTCCTCTGTCTCCTGGGTTTTGCCTGCATCGAGTGCTGTTGGTGGTGCCCGCGGCAACCGGCGGGTGTGGGCCCAGGGGGGAGAGGGGTTGTGTTCCTTTTGCGCCCCCGTGCACAGGTGGAGGCTTTCCGTCCGTCCGGGCGTGTTGGAAGCGTGGTGCATTCGTTTCTCTCTTCACCGGTGTTTCTCGATGGAGAGACGAGGCTGTGCACTTCGCTGTCGGTACGTTTTGGGCGGGCGGTGGCATCCGGCTGTGGGCCGAAGCTGTCGGTGGTTCGTTCGCGCGCGCCGTTGTTCGGGTAGTGTGGTTAACTTGCGATCTCTGGGTGTGGTGTGGGCAGGTGCTGTTCGCAGCCAATCTCTTGGGCGGGTGCGGCGGGCTGTGTTGGATTGTGCGGTACCTTGCC